TCAGCTAATGCGGGAAAGTTCCTTAAAGGGACCCTCCCACCTTCAAAAAGTTAATGAATTGGCATGAAAGTGATGTCGCTCGGTTCAGAAAGAGCAAAAACGAATATCTACCAAATTTCATCGAAAAATATTCACCGGTTTTCAAGATATTAGACTTTTACTTTTGTTTACTTTTTGGGATCTCCGCTGTTCCTAGCGACTTTATTGAAAGTGCGGCATTTGTTGCGCGCAAAGCAGCATATACCACCGCGTGCTACAAAACGTTTTAGTCAAACATTTAACGGACGTTCGAAAGCCTGCTGACGTCATCAGATTCCCGTAATGGTTAAGAGATAGGGACCACGCTGGTCCCACCCTGCAAGTAAAGGGAAGAAATTTCTTGAACACCATAAAGCTGCGGGGGTTGCGACCAGGATAAATGGTGGTTTCTGAGCCTGGCCGCAAACTTGGCTATCTCAACTCAAAACTAATATTAAGGTGGGAGGGTCCCTTTAAAGTTCCTCACCGGGCATTTGGCGAACGGTCTCCGGCCGAAGCCGTCGAAGGCCACATTCTGGAAGAAGGGTGTCCAGTAGAGGAGCAGGTGCGTGTTGTTGAGCTCGGCGGCGTTCAGCTCTGGCGCACGGTACAACGCCTGGTTGATGAACCGGTTTCTGACATAGTACACCAATGCCTGGTGGTGTTTGGCAGACCAGAAGGTGTAAGCCACCGACAGCAGCACAAAGACGCCCAACAGAATATAACTCTTCTTTCTTGTTATCTTTAATACTTGGCATGCCTGAAAGAACCGCAGAGTAAACTTGGAATACGGGTAGCGAATACAAGTATCCAACATACGACTTAGGCACTAAGGTACTACTGGGGGAAATTTATATTCAATTACCCTACACGTAGGTACCAAAGTCACAGAATCGTTTACCATTTTGAATTATGAAGACGGGTACGATTTCGTGCTGAGATTTTGAGAGCTTTGTCAGAGGCGTATCCACGGCCAGTTTCTGGCAGGCATGTTTTCGCCAAACAAGAGCTCCCCGCCAATGAGGACTGATAGGGTATTTAATGAAGTGTAGACTCTAAATGCAGCGAGATAAACTTTGCAAGATGTTAAATGAAGTGAAATCGATGTCTTAAACGCATATACATTATAAAATATATTGAAGCGTGTGCATAGGCAGATGTACATAGGCAAGAGAAATAACGTCAGAGAAATAAGGGGGCATCACACGAAAGTAATCTCGGTCACGCAAGGGAGTAGAGTAAAAATTTTAAGTGTAACTATATCTGCATTCAAAGACGATGTGCTATTTCAAATCGGTTTCATACATAAGTAAGCATAATGAAATGTGTAGGCGGATGAACGTATCAGGGGGGAAGAAAGTGTGTGCATGCGTGCGTGTGTGTGTGGTGAAAGTGTGACTACTGACAAATCAATATAGTATATGTGGGTTATACAATAGGATGCATATATGGGTTAATTAACAATGTTATTAGCAGGGCTGAGGAGTCGGTCGGAGTCGACAGTTCTGCCTGGAATCGGTCGGAGTTGGAGTCGGAGTCGCCAAAATCTTACCGAATCCGACTCCGGAGCCGGAGTTAACTATACATACATCATACATGGCTGAACATCATGCCCTGCACCTGGCGATACTACGCTCGTTGACCTTTCGAAATAAGATGATGTCGAAAAAAGCCATAGTCCTGTTTTGGACAAACGTTTTTAGCGAAAGAAACAGAAGACGGCGAAATCACCAGAGCCTACTTTTCAATTCTGCATGTTATTTATAAAGCAATAAGCATATCTGCAATGCAAGGCCTAGGAAGCACAATGGATCGTGTCAGGCAAAATAAAAGCATATCCACTTTGAACTTTATTATCATGATATGGATTTGAAGAGGAACAGAGAAACGTCCAGAGGCAGAGATTGTGTCGGAGTCGGAGTCACCCTAAAATCCATCGACTCCGCAGCCCTGGTTCAAACCTGCACAACATGTGTAAAATTGATTTAGTGATAGTCATGCCAAATTTCGAGGAGCTACGCGCCGCGTTTTTTTCCCCTCGCGTTAATGAAAAACTGGGGGGGGGGGATAACCGCCCCGTCGCCGCGGGTTAACCATCGCACGTATTGGTGTTTTGCCAGCCGCGAACGTATAATGGGGGGGGTCCGTTGAACCCCCCCCTTGCCGTTTCGCCCCTGATCGAGCTAGAGCTTCGCGGAAAATCGGGCGTGTTCATAGGCGTAGGAACAGGGGGGGCCAGGTGGGCAAGTGCCCACCCACTTTTCGAGGTGGGGGGGCCAACCATGTGTTTTGGCCCACCCACTTTTTACTCGAGGCCCCTCGTCTCGATTTGAGAGGACGTCGTCACCTTCCAGAATAAACAAACTTGGTAAAAATAAGTTCCACGAATCCCCACGCACGGACTCCAAGGGGCCGTGATGGATCCAAGGAGGCTCTCTGTTCATACTTGTCAGTCGAAGCCCCTGAGACTGATGGCCTGAGAGGCCCTAGTGGATCTGAGGAGGCCCCAATATCCACACTGGTCTGGGGAGGCCCCTGACACTGGCGGTCTGGGAGGCCCCTCTATCCACACTAGTCAGAGGTCTGAGACTGGTGGTCTGAGAGGCCCCTCCATCCACACTAGTCAGAATAGGCCCCTGACACTGGCGGTCTAGCCGAGGCCCCCTACCCTCACTAGTCAGAGGAGGCCCCTCTATCCTCAATAGTCAGAAGAGGCCTCTGAGACTGATGGTCTGGGAGGCCTATCCATCTACACTGTAGTCAGAGGAGGCCCCTGAGACTGATGACCTGAGAGACCCTTATAATCACACCAGGCAGAAGAGGCCCATGAGACTGATGGACTGAGAGGCCCTTCTATTCATACTGGCCACAGGAGACCCCCAAAACTTTCGGTCTGGGAGGTCCCTCAATCCGGCACCAGTCAGAAGAATCCCCTGAGACTGATGGCCTGGGAAGCCCTTATATTCACACTAGGCAGAGGAGGCCCCTGAGACTGCTGGTATGAGAGGCCCTCATATTCACACCAGTCAGAAGAGGCCCCCGAGGCTGATGGCTGTGAGGCCCTTCTGTTCATATAAATGGCCACTGGAGGCCCCTGAAACCGGTGGTCTGGGAGGGCCCTCTATCCAAACTAGTCAGAAGAGGCCCCTGAGACCGATGGTCTGAGAGGCTCTTCTATTTATACTAACCAGAAGAGGCCCCTAGGATTGATGGTCTAACAGGCCCTTCTATTTATACTAGCCAGAGGAGGCTCATGATACTGATTGTCTGAGAGGCCCTTCTATTCAAACTAAGCAGATGGGGCCCCTGAGAATGATAGTCCGAAGAGCCATGCGGCGGCAACTGGCCGTGGCCATATTTCGGCTCGGTAGGGCCCCACAGAGCTCATGAGAGCACCTCAAGGGCTCCGAAGTAGACACGCTTATCCCCATAAGGGTGCCACGCCGGCTTCTGAAGGCTCCTTCTAGGCATCTAAGGGCCCTTTCCGGGCTCTAACGGCTCCACCCGCCTGTGATGGCTCCACACCAGTGTTTATGAGCGCCACACAGCGGCGCCTTTGAGGGTCATACTAGTGTCTCTTAGGGGCGTTAGGGCCCTATATCAGTGGCTCTGGGGGCCCCACACCGGCGCCTCTGTGGGCCACCACACCTGTGCATCTGAAGGACCCACACCGACACCTCTGAGGGCCCCGGCCCACACCAGTATCTCGGAGCTCTGAAGGCCCCACACCGGTGACTCTGAGGACTCACCGGCTCCTGAGAGCACTATGTTGATGACTAACGGCTCCGCAAGGCCACTGAAGGCACCACACAAGCTCTCACTGAGTAATGTCCATGTACCGGCCTCTGATGGATTTAAGCCAGCGCATTCATAGCTCCACACCAGCAATTGTAAGGGCTTCACACTGAAGTATCTGAGGGTTCCACACCGGTGTCTCTAAGGGCCACATACCGGCATCTCTGAGGGCCCCATACCGGCGTCTCCGAGGGTCCACATCTGGCGGGCACCCATCAGCGACTGAAGGTCCCACACTGTCGACTCCGAGAGCCCCATCTGCGTCTGGGAGCACCATGCCGTCTCTAAGAACCACAGCGGCTCCTCCGTCGAAAGATGGACGTCTGCATGCCAAAAGGGAGCGGTTCTGAGACAGTAGGGCACCTACGTGCAATAGAGGGGCGCCTATGAAGCCCATAGGGGCGCCTCAATGCGAAAGAGGGGTGCCTCTGAGGCCTACATATATGGGCGTCCACATGCAATAGAGGTCCGCGACTGCAATTGATCAATGTCATGGGGTGCATTCATAAGAAACAGGGCGCCGGCATGGCAAAGAGAGGCGCCTTCAAGTGTCCATATAAGAGAGACGCCTATGATAAGCGCACATTGTATGCGACAACGGGGGCGGGGCGACTGTGGGACATAGGGATGTCTCTGATGACTATACATAGAGCGCTTATATGCCAAAGAGGGCGCCTATGAAGCTATTGGGGGCACCTGGGAAACGAGGAAGACATTTGTGTAAGGGTTTTCAGGGGTCATGCGCCGTTTGCGGCAAATAGATTCTAAAAAAAAAAAATCGGAGCGGGAATAAGTTTTAAAATGGTGCGGACTTTCCGCACTGTTCGCTTAAGCGGTTACGCCCCTGGGTACATCTGCCCGATCTCAGAAGCTAGACTTGGAGCTCATACTTGAAAGCAGCCAGCAGGACGAGGCAAAAGTTGGAGGCCCCTGAAAATAGGAGGCCCCCTGGAAAAGGAGGCCCCTTGACAGGGTGGCCCACCCACTTTTCATGACGTTCCTACGCCCGTGGGCGTGTTGCCCGTGACGAGAGGAAGCCGATGATACCCACCATTACGGGAATCTGATGACGTCATCAGGCTTTCGAACGTCCGTTAAATGTTTGACTAAAACGTTTTGTAGCACGCGGTGGTATATGCTGCTTTGCGCGCAACAAATGCCGCACTTTCAAATGAAGTCGCTAGGAACAGCGGATATCCCAAAAAAGTAAACAAAAGTAAAAGTCTAATATCTTGAAAACCGGTGAATATTTTTCGATAAAATTTGGTAGATATTCGTTTTTGCTCTTTCTGAACCGAGCGACATCACTTTCATGCCAATTCATTAACTTTTTTGAAGGTGGGAGGGCCCCTTTAACACGCGCACTGCAGCGGGTCTGAGCCGAACACGAACTGCAGGGGGGGGGGGGGGTGAAAACAACAACCCCCCTGAGATCTCAAAAACGGCGCAACGTAGCGACAAGCGGTAAATGGCGTTGGATAGGTTGAGATGATATCTACAAGAAATACTTAGATCATTTTTGGGTCAGGTCAAAAACGAGGTCAGCAGAGGTCACCAAACTCAAAATGTTGCGATTTTTTAGCGATCTCGACATCCCTCCATATTTCCCGCTTTATCTCGGGAACTAGATGAGCTAGAAAGTAGTTGCGAAAAAAGCATTCGATAGCTGTTGAAACGTTCTTTCGCTGAGCTGTCCTCAGATTTGACCTAAGGTCAACGGTTCAGCCTATAGAGGTCATGTAATGTCAGATCAATATTGCAAATTTTCCGGAAATGCTTTTTCTGCAATAACTTTTCTTCCCAAAGAGATAGAGAAATAATTCACACACCATCGCCATCGTTCTTAGCTCGTCAAGGCGCATCGAATGGTATATAATATGACCTCGAAAGGTCAATTTCAAAAGTTGACCTCAGGTCAAGGTCATGACCTGACCGAAATAGGTCATGTTGCATATCATTCGATCC